GGAAAGAGTCTTCAATTCAGCATTGTGAAGCTCATATCCTCAGACCACAGCATTTAATAGGGTTGGAGAGGAGATAAGCTTTTCAATCAGACTCTACTGGTCCATTTCCCTCATTTATGTCACTTCCTAACTACTGTAGACATTTATCTTTATGACTCCTGGTCCAGAAGTGTTCAATGAACTGAATCCAAAAATACCTCCAAACACAAATCCTGAGCTGGCCTTTTATCAAGCTCATTTACCTTCCAGGAATTTCAGGGTGGGAAGGAGGAAATTTACTTCAGATTCTATTATCGTCACTTCTTCACTTATGTAATTACTCTTTCCCTTGTGAGCTAGATTAATACCTAAAATTAAGTTACTGCTTTTCAAACACATCTTTACCAACCCTCTCTGGTGACCCAATCTAAAGGAATTAAACTGCATAAAAACACCTTATACATTCTGGATTTTAGTTCACACTTCTGCTGCTAAGGACCTGCAGATATGGAAGCACTTGTTGAGTTAATAGTTAATTACTTTCTCTTTTGGACAGTTACTATTATGGTTCAAGAAGCATTTGTTTCCACATCTGTTTCACTGAGCCAGTTGTGGGTTTTGGATGCCTTGGCGCCCTCTAAAGTCTACAGTGAGAGCAGAGTGACATCTGCACGCTTTCTATACTTTGTGGCTGAGTTAGAATTGTGACGTTTAGGAAGGAGGGGGCAAGGGCAGGAATAACTCATGACCTTCCAATCTGAAGCTCTATTCTAATTCGTCACATGGCCCTCCCATGGTATCAAGGAAGTGACCAAGCTCATGCTTAGTAAAACAACTGATTTTTCTTTAGTGAGTATACTTTCTACTCTATAGAAACTAACATGACAGAAAGGACAGTGGCCTTTTTAAACTGAAATCACTTTGGTCAAAGAGTTTTCAGGTTAGGTTTATATTGCTGCTGTTTAATTTGTTTGGTTGTTTGTGGGGTGTTTCTGTTTAAAGACAAACACTCTTTGAATATTTGTATTTCAGAAATAACAAGTCAGAGCACCTGCTCTATGCCAGCAAGGTAAGTTTTATTTTGTTTTGTTTTGTTTTGTTTTGTTTTGTTTTAAATGGGGAAATGTTTTCAGACACTTTTTCCAGAGATTGAATGTACTCAGTGGTGGGTGAATTCTTTAAGAGGGAATATGATTCCATTCTTCTGGAACCTCCTGATTAAAGCAACAGAATCAATGAACAAAGCAGGAGCAAAGGAAAGCTGTAGGGAAACAAAGTTATATCATGGGGTGGGGGCACTATCTGAAAGACAGGTGTCAATAAGAATAAGAGAGTCTTGTGATAACCGTAATACCCTATCATACATTGCTTTTGAATTATTCACTGCCTCATCTGTTTTAGTGCAGTATACACAATCACAAGAGTCCACAATTAAGGTTGCATAGTGGAATGTACTTGGGGTGGCGGGAGGGGTGCGGGGGGGATTGTGTACCAGGGAGGGAGTGTTTCTTTTACTTTTGAAAGAGAGGAGCAAACTGGCCCGGGGGGAGGGCTGGGCGGGGAGAGAAGTGCAGCAATGAATAAATGGAAATCCAAAATCTCTGTAAATGCTCATTAAAGTGATTTAATTAAAAAAAAAGAGAGAGAGGGGGAAAAAGAAGAATAACAGAGTCATGAGACTTTGGATTATTCTAAGATCATCTTGTTTATCTCATGGAGGAAATGGGAGTGGCAGACTAAGAAACACTGAATACTTACTCTCCACAGGTGGTATGATACTAAATACCTGGTGGGTGATGTTAAGAAATGGAAACATATCAATTTCAAAGGCAAATCATGTTCAGTTATATGATTTGCAAATCACCTAGTTTCTCTGTCTCAAAAAATAATGCTTGTCAAAATATTCGCTTGTCACTAAGGTATGAGTGAGAGAATCGTATACCAAAGTCTAACTCAGCGAAGCTAGAACTTCTTTCTGCCAAATGACTAAATTCAAGCAAACTTTGTGCTGCCAAGGACTTTATCTTTGCAGAGCCTTTTCCAGTTTTTAAGGAGTTCACACATGCTTTATGTCCTAGCCCTTCAAGGCCATTGTATTCTTTCCTATCTTTGAATTCATATTTACTTCTAAGCACCAATAATTTGGCATTCAAGCATCATAAATACAGTGCTTTCAAACTGGAAGGCAATAAAGAGAAAACTACTGGAACCCTCTGTTTTACAAATGTAGAAACAGTGCATAGAGAAATAGATTTTGTTGAAGGTCACACAGCTCATCAGAAGCAGAAACTGTCCTTGAATTTAGAGCTCCTGATTTCCAGTTCACCCACTACCTCAGCTATTGAATGAAAGCATATTTTTAAATTACTGTTTCCATGCAGAAAATCATAATCTGTAGATGTGTAAAAGGTACAGCTTCACAATTTGCTTTTCCTGCCTGTACAGTCTCTAAGAGACAAAGTGTTTTTGCCCAGGATCCTTTAAAATACCTAGCCTACTTCTGTGCCTCTTATCAAGTCCACAGAGGGTCAGTGTATGAGTTTCCTCATATGGTAGAGCATATGGCAGGATCAGGTATCTACTTTCTCCATGAGGACAGCCAACAGGTCCTTTTATTTGTTTTTAAGGCTTTCGTACTATATATTTCAGTTGCTGGATCTTAATCCACACTTGGAAAGACCCATTCTAGGCTTAGTCTCTGCACATAAGAGATACACAGGGCATAATTGTTGAATTCATAGATTCAACTGTAAACTTCTGCATACTTTTCCAAGTTAATTAGCAGTCATCTCTTTTGTGATATTTTGAGCATAACCAATATCTACTAGCCCTAGACATGTACCAATTGACCTGGAAATTCAAGAGTTCTTAGGGTAGACATCCTTGCTAGTTAGAAGCTGTCTAGACTTCCTGCTTCTCACCCTGAAGGAAGCCAGCCTGGGTTACATATATTATCTGTGTGTGCCATCTTTTCTAGAGAAAAGACAGGGAGGAGAGTAAAGATAACCAGGAAGGTAGGAGAACAAATAGTGAATGAATATTTTGTGCTAGGTACTGTTAAATAAGTCATATAACTTTATCTAAAACTAAAGCAATCCTTCAACATTAGGATGATTTTCTTATTTTGCAAGTAATGGATCTAAGAACATTAAGTTGGGTACTCAGATAACAAAGCTAATGAATATTAGAGACAGGTTTGGAATCAGTTCTATGTCCAAAGTCTCCGCTCACTGTAACCACTTTGTTCTCCCAGATAAACAAACCAAACCCACTGCCACTGAGTTGGTTCTGGCTCATGATGACCCTCTATTGGGTTTGTGAGGTTGTAAAACTTTATAGAAAGAGACTGCCTATCTTTCTACCATGAATTGGCTGGTAGATTTGATTTGATGACTTTTCAGTGAGCTCCCAATACATTAAGCACTACACTGCCAAGGCTGTTTTCCAGATAAAGTAACTCAAAGCTCATTGGTGTCAAGTCAGAATCAAATCTTCACTGACCCTCCAGTGGATTTTCAAAGGCTGTGAATTGTATGGGATGAAACTGTCCATCTTTCTCCTGGGAAGCTCAAATATTTGAACCTCCCACCTTTGGGTTGGCAGTCAGTCAGTGTATCTTATTCATTAAGCCACCACCATACTCTTGCAACAGAGACTCAAAATAATCTAAATATCTAGGGGAAGAAGTGTGATTTTTGTAATAGGTAACTCAAGTTAAGAAATCCCAACACAAGATCGTGTGTGTGTGTGTGTGTGTGTGTGTGTGTGTGTGTGTGTGAAGCAGCTCTGGTGGCTTAGTGGGCAGAGAATTGTGCTGCTAACCCCATGGCAGGCAGTTCAAATCCACCAGCTTCCCCTCAGGAGAAAGATGGGCAATCTCCTCCCACATGGTTTACACACACACACACACACACACACACACACACACACTTTCAGATTTCAACTACTCTTTGAATGTTTTCTGGACTAAAGGCATTTGGAGGAGGGAAAAGTACTTGCAGCCAAGTGTGCCTGACATATTAAGGGCCTCGGCATGACCTAAACATGATTTACTGGAATTAAATGATTGTTCAACCCATTTGATTAAAGCAAAAGCTATGCTGAGGTATTTGGAAGGACAAATTGCAAAATCAAGAAAAGCTGGCTATAAATCCTGTAAGACCTATTTCCTGAAACTACCCCAGCAAACAGACATTATCATGTCAGCTTGACTTCATCTTGAACTCCAAAGCAGCCCATGACTGGACTTGGGTACTGTTGGTGTATCAGGACTCTATTGGTATGGAAGTGTTATTCCAAGCAAAACATATATGGTTTCTTCCATTCTTCTTTAATTTATTCGTTCTTTGATAATTTAGTGATCTTTAAGGCCTTTTCTTAATATAATCATTTGGGTTTTGCCTCTGAGTAAGGTCAAGGCCTTCCTCAATTCCTTTAATATCCTTGTTTGTGTTCCAGGACAAGTTCTGTGGCAAATTATTCTTTAGTCCTTTGTAATAAAAAAACCAAAAAAAAACACCACCTTAATATTTTCTGCCACCATTCTTGGGATTCAGAAAAACTTGGTTATAATGAGAAGTCACTTTAATTCTGAGAGGATCTATAGTTCTAAAAGGACCAACACCTGGAAAAACAAGCTAATAATACAATAATTTAACTGAGCACTTACCATGTAGCACATGCACTTTCAAGACCTTTACATGATCATCAGTCCTTTGATTCTTATATCTTTTAAATTAAGTATTATTTCTATTATTGTCAGTACCATACCCATTTTACAGATGTAAAAGCTAAGTCACTGAGAAGACAAACAGCTAGCCCAAGGTCATACAGTTAATAAGTGGTAAAGTCAGAACTGAAACTAAAATGAGTTTCAGAGCCTACATTTTTAATGATTCTGCCTCTGCTCACAATTAAAAGTATTTACATCACTATAAAACTTGAGTCCTGTGACAATTCCTTCCATCTGTTCCTCATTGTATAAAGAAACTCTGCTTGGCCTTCCTCTAACAGAAAACACCATGGCCAAGCGAGTTGCAGTGATTGGAGCTGGTGTCAGTGGCCTCTCCTCCATCAAATGCTGCTTGGATGAAGACCTGGAGCCTACATGCTTTGAGAGAAGTAACGACATCGGGGGACTATGGAAGTTTACTGTATGTGATTCACACCCCCTTCTTTTACCAACTCTAATCTGGCCGTATACTTTGTCCCTGCTCTGGTAGGGTGACTTTACCCTACTCTGGCCATCAAATAAAGGAACAGCTCAGTGCAACAGTGCCTAGACATGTGCATGAGACAGACTGCGAAGTGATGAAGCTTGAGAACCAGCAAGACATGGTCAGGGATGATTGGGAGAGGGAAAGAGTGAGCTAAATCTGGTAGACAAATAGGATTTTACCATGATTTCTAGACCATGAGCATTCCAAAGCAAAGGAAGAAAATGTCAGTGGGGAAATTGAACAGCACTGGCGTGTAGACAGCAATGACTCTCTACAGAGGATGGAAACAGCCACCAGGAACTAGAGACCCAGCCATGCCACCATACTGTTCAGGTATCTGTAACAATAACTGGCAAGAATAAGACAAGACCCTGGTCCTTAGAAGGTTTAAGGGATACTTTCAAATTATTAATGTAGGAAGGCAAGTTGATAGAAGTTTGGGCTGTTTGAATCCACCAGCAATTCTGTGGGAGAAAGCTGGACAATCTCCTCTCATGTGATTTACAGCCTCTGAAAATTTGCTGTAGGGTCAGCTATGAGTCAGTTATGACTCAATGGCAATGAGTTTGAGTTTTGAGAGATGCTTTTTTTCTTCACATTATCAAAATAAAAAGGAGCTAAGCAATACCCAAACAGTGTTAGAACTGGGGCATTAGGTCTGAGGAGGCACAGCTCAGAACTAGGCAAGCAGTAAGATAATAAACATTGGAAAGTAGGATAAAAGTGGTTTAAAACCACCTGTCTCCAGCCAAGACATCTTCTGGAGGATGGGAGTGCCAGGGTCTTCAATGGAGATCAGCCAGTGGGTCTAAACATTAAATGTTTCAGTAGAACTGGGAGCTTACTGTGAACAATCATTGGGAGCTCAAGCAGAGGGACAGTAATTCTACCTGATAGAGTGAGAGAAAGCACCAAGGTGCTAGTGATATTTGCAAAGATTTTTGACAGTTACTAATAAGATATAGATATACACATATACATACTCTAGTGGCTCAGTGAAAAGAAGTTGCACTGTCAGCACAAAGGCAGGTATTTCTAATCCACCTGCTTCTCTGAGGAGAAAGATGGACATGTGATTTGAAGCCTCTGAAAACCCACTTGAGGTTCAGCTATGAGTTGGTTCTGACTGGAAGACAATGGATTGATTTTTATATGTTTTTATTATATACATATATAACTATAGGACTGTAATGTCTTAGGAAAAGAAATCTTCTTCTCGTGTTCCATAAAACTCATCAAGCCCCAAATGTCAGTGAGTCTAGTTTTTATACCTCCTGCTATTTGACCCACAGTTGACATTCTTTCTTTTCATATTTGAAATAACACATATTAATTTTTGAAAATAATACTGAATTAAGCAAAAGTTAAAATATAAATTAAATATAACATACCCACAAGCAAGCACTACTAAGTCTGGGAACCCCTTTCAGCTGGGCTAGCATGAACCCCCAGGATTTCTGTTCTCTTCCCCTGTTTCCCCTACCTCATCAAGGTACTATGCCTTCATCACAGGAAACATCTAAAGATGGGATGACCAGGGTCTACAGGTCACTAATCACAAATGTTTGCAAGGAAATGTCATGTTACAGTGATTTCCCCTTCCAAGAAGATTATCCCAATTTTATGACTCAAGGAAAATTCTGGGACTATCTACAAGAATTTGCTGAACATTTTGGCCTTTTGAAATACATTCAGTTTAAGGTATGACATCTTGGATTATAGAACAGTTGCTGCCCTATTTAAACACAAGTTAATAGAATTATAATGGCTAACTTTGTGTGTGTGTAAATAAGTCTCTGAATAAGTACTGAAGAAAATTAAGATTCTTGTTGTTCTTGTTTTATGCAATTAAATCATTAATACTGAATTGCTCAATTTCTACTCAAAATACCAAAACTGATTAATAATGACATGTAGACCTTTTTTTGAGAGATAAAGAGAAAAGAATTTTGTTGATAAAAACCTATTGGGAAAAAAATTACTACAAGATAACTACAGAAATTATAATGAGTCAAAACTAATTTTCCTGATTTGTTCCAATGTATTAGCTATTATCACTCATCTCCTCACCAGGAATAAGAATAGTGTTTTCTTTCCAATCAAAAGAACAGATGTCCTAGGTTCAGGTCTAAATTTTCACTTTGGAAATTGCTTAAGTTATTTAACTTCCTACTTGTTGTTATTGTTAGGTGCCGTTGAGTCAATTATAACCCATAGCAATGCTACAGACAATGGTTCTCCTAACATGGGATTTGGTGTACTCAAAATAACATTTTACAAACATACCTCACAGATATTGCACATTCAATTCCAAAGCAAATAGAAAGTGAACCCCATAATTTTTTTATTTCCCAGTTTATATAAATGTTATGTTTATACTATACTGCAGTCTGTTAGGGAACTCTGATTGTGTATCATCTGTAATTGAGTTGCACTGCTGGCCTAAAGATTCCATGTTGGAAGCCCACTGTAGCTCCACAGGAGAAAGACGGGCTGTAATTTCCAGGCTGAGAACCATATAGAAGGCCAGCTATGAGTTGGAACTGACTCATCTGACAGTGAGTTTTGAGTTTCAGGAGTCTGGTAAGCATTATGAAAACTTTAGAAATATTGTGAGAATCATCAAAACATGATAGAGAAACATGAAATGAGTACATGCTACTGGGAAAGTAGTCTTAGTAGACCTGCTCAAGGCAGGGCTGCCATAGCCCTTATTTGTAAAAGAAACAACCCCCAAGCCAAATGAACAACCCCACCCCAGTGTCTGTAAAGCACAATAAAATTAAGTGCAATAAAACAAAATGTGCCTGTAGTTATTGTCTCAGATCCCAAAGTATCAGTAAGAATCATATGCTTGTGTTTTGCTTTCAGACCACTGTACTCAGTGTAACAAAATGTCCAGACTTCTCCGTAAGTGGTCAGTGGGATGTTGTCACAGAGACAGAGGGCAAGCAGGCCAGAGCAGTCTTTGATGCTGTCATGGTTTGCACTGGACATTTCCTGAGCCCTCGTTTTCCTTTGGAGACCTTCCCTGGTAAGTCATTCTATCTGGAACCAGGTTTAACACTTACAGGTTAAACCTTGTAGGAAAAATTTATTGCTGTGTACTTGAAAATTCTTCCTCATGATTATAAAGAACTCACCCTCTCAAACAAGATATAAAATTACTCTGTAAAACATAAAATACATTTGAGATATCATTATTTGCTTACTAAATCTTAGTATTGTTACTGATTAAGCTGTGTCATGTCTCATTTAAATGAAGTGATCACATAAAATGTAAAGGTGTCATTAACAAAAAGATGCTTTGATTCTTAGGATCAGGAATTAGGCATTTAAGAATATAAAAGTAGTAAGGGTAAAAAAACTGTGTCATTTTGTTAAGAAACAAGCCAGAATTTATATATGTAAAGAAAATTTTCACTTGTACAACAATGTTCATAGCAGCATTATTCACCATTGCAAGAACATGGGAACAGCCCAAACGTCCAACCACAAACAAATGGATTGAGAAATTATGGTACATTCACACAGTGGAATACTATGTAGCACAAAGGAGCAATAACTTTGTAAATTATTACCTAGCTTGGGAGGGACTGGAGAATATTATGCTGAATGAATTAACTCAGTCACATAAGGATAAACATTGTATAATAAGGATCCAGGAGGGGTGGGAAAGGCTGGAAGCAGAGGGATGTGGATGTGCAGGGAGAACAGGAGATTAATCACTGGGTTGTACAATTTGATGGGTGGGAGGGTGAGAGAAATTGAAAGAATTTGTTCAAAATTGTATTTGAATTTTGTAAATAAGCTAGTAGAAAAATTTTTTTAGAAAAAAAGTAGTCACAATAGTAATGCAGATTTCTCTTGAACCAGGGCAATCATAAAAATGGAGTTTTAGAAATTTAGAACAATTTTGAGTTCATCAGCACATTCTGTCTCATATGCTCACAAGTGAAAAATCACCATCTTTTGAATACAAACTTATTTGAAAGTCGAAAACTATTCAAAAGGAAATAGTATTAGTCATAATGTTATTCTTGTTGATTTCTACTATTCAGTCAAAACCAACTCTTGGCTGACCCATGAGCAGGTTTTCAGAGGCAGTACTAAAATGTTAAAAAGCTACTATTCTTCTAACACTTCCAAGTGACAAAAAAAAAGGCAACTCAGTAAGTAAAGTTTCAAACCTTCAAGAAATTGAAGGAACTTTTAAGGAAGGAAAACTAATACATACATACATACATACATACATACATACATACCTAACCTTGGCCAAAGGAAATTCATAAATTCATTATCAAAATAAGAAAATACCTTAAGCCTACCCCAAATCTGTTCAGCTATTAAGTGCTCCAGACTTGCTGCTGGGCTGGGGCTAAGCACACAATCATACAAAGGAATATATAACCATCTATTATATTATAGCAAAATTTCTATAGGGAAATGTATTGAAAGTGCAAAAAAAATATGACACAGCTAATTCTGCAATTTTTTTGTCCTATCAAATGTGTGATGTGCCTTTCCCTTTCACTCATAACTACCTTAAGTTTAACTTAGATAAAGTATACTGTTACAAAGGATCAACCAATTCAAAATGGGTGACCCTGGAGGACATTATGCTGAGTGAAATATCTCAGTGGCAAAAGGACAAATATTGCATGGTGCCACTGTTTTAAAATGGGACTGATATGAGAGTTAGGGTAAGACTGAGAAAAACTGGATAAATTGTGTATACTGCACTGAAACAGATGAGGGAGTGAATAATTTAAAAGCAAAGTATGATAGTGTATTATGGTTATCACAAGAGACCACAATTAAGGTTGCATAGTGGAATGTACTTGGGGCGGTGGGAGGGGTGCGGGGGGATTGTGTACCAGGGAGGGAGTGTTTCTTTTACTTTTGAAAGAGAGGAGCAAACTGGCGGGGGGGGGGGGCTGGGTGGGGAGAGAAGTGCAGCAATGAATGAATGGAAATCCAAAATCTCTGTAAATGCTCATTAAAATTATTAAAAAAAAATAAAGCTTAAAAAACAAAACAAAGGATCAACTAAGAACTGAAAGGCAAGCATATGCATGGCAGTATAAAGTGTGCAAACTGTTGAAGGAGTGGAAAGAATGGAGGCAGGGCAAATATGAATTAAAATATCAAGGTAGTTGGATCATTTAGTGGATGAGTAAAGCTATATAGTCTGGAAGGGGATAAATATTGCAATAAACATATTGGGGTGTCTTCTCTCATTTGCCCTGCTGTCCTTGTTATGTACTGTTCAGTCTACTCCAACTCATAGCAATCCTATGTACAATAATTCTGAACCCTGCTGTGAATTAGTGAATTATGTTGTTTTTCTTATATTGAATCATCCTTGCATACCTATCATGAATCCCAATTTGTCATGATGAATTATTTTTTTGATGTGCTTTTGAACTCTGTTTGCTAGGATTTTGTTAAGGATTTTACATCTATATTCATGAGAGATACTGGCCTGTAGTTTTCTTTCTTGGTAATATCTTTGCCATGTATTGGTATTAGGGTTATGCTTGCTTCATAAAATGACTCTGGGAGTGCTCCTTCTTTATTTTTTTAAAATACTTTAAGTAGAATTGGTGATAGATCTTCTCTGAATGTTAGGTAGAATTCAGCTGTGAAGCCATCCGGTCCAGGATTTTTCTTATGGGAAAGTCTTTTTATGACTTGTTCAATTTCTTCTTTCATGATAGGTCTGTTCAAGTGTTCTACATCTGTTCAGGTCAATCTGGGTAGGGTATGAGTATCTAGGAATTTGTCCTTTTCCTCTAGGTTTCAATTTTAATAGTATTATAGTATTATCGCGATAATTTAATCTGATTCTGTTGTGATGTCACCTTTAGAATATCTTAATCAAGTTATCTGTGTCTTCTCCTTTTTTTTCTTTTGTTAAGTTTGCCCGTGGTTTGTCAATTTTATTGATGCTTTCAAAAAACCAGCTCCTGGTCTTGTTAATGGTTTCAATTTTTTCTCTGTTCTCTATCTCATTGATTTCAGCTCTTGTCCTTATAAATTCTTTTCTTCTAAATGCTGTGGGATTATATTATTGTTCTTTTTCTATTTTATGAAGGAGTTGAGTTAGATCATTGATTTTTCTTCTTTCTTCCTTTTTTGTGTATGTGAGTATTGCTATGATATCCCCGCCCCTCAGGACTGCCTTAGCTGCATTGCAGAGGTTCTCGTATGTTCTATTTTCATTTTCATTTGTTTCAAGGAACTTTTTTATTTCATTGTTTATTTATTTTATAACCCAATCATGTTCTAGCAGAGAGTTATTTAGCTTCCACATGGCATGAGTGGTTTTTTAAGCTTTAGTCTCACGTGGTTAATTTCTAGTTTTACGGCATTGTGGTCTGAGAATATGCTTTGTATTATTTCAGTATTTTTAATTGAGTCTTGATTTCTGTGTTAATATATGATCAATTTTGGATAATGTCCCATGTGCACTTAAAAAGAAAGTTAATTGAGTTTTATTGTGTGCAGTACCCTGAATACATCCACAAAGCCAAGTTAGCCGACTTTATAGTTCAGCCGTTCTGCATCTTTGCTAAGTTTCTTTTGAGTGTCCTTTGGTGATAGTGGTGTGTTGAAGTCTCCAGCCACTATAGTGGTGCTATCTATTTCTTTCTTCATTTCTGTATACCATTGCTTTACATATTTTGAAGGTCTATCATTTGGTGCATAAATGTTGACCAAGGTTATGTCTTCTTGATCGATTGTTCCTTTAATCAATAAGTAATGCCTTTCCTTATCTTTTATGGTGGTTTTCATTCTGAAGTTTATTTTATCAGAGATTGGTATTTCCACTCCTATTTTTTTTGTTGTTGTAGTTGCCATTTGCTTGGTATATTTTTTCCAGCCTTTAATTTTTAATCTGTCTTTCTCTTCATTGTTTAGATGTGTTTCTTATAGGCAATGTATTGATGGGCTTTGTCTTTCTATCCATTCTGCTATTCTTTTCTCATAATTGGTGCATTTAGTCCATTCACATTAAGTGTGATAATAGTCAGGTTAGGTTTTTCCATTGCCGTTTTGCATGGTTTTTTCCTCTTGTTTCTGGTTACTATGTTTTCACATATTCCTTACGTTCTTTCTTTTACATAAAGAAGCTAATTTCTCTTTCATATTTGGTAGAGAGCTTTGCTGTGTATAGGATCCTTGGCTGGCAATTGTTTTCTTTCAACTTTCTCCCATTGTCTTCTAGCTCACATGCTTTCTATTGAGAAATCAGAACTTAATCTAATTGTTTTTCCTTTATAGGTTACTCTGTTTTTCTCAGTGCTGCTTTTAGTATACTATCCTTATCTTTTAATTTGGAGAATTTGACTATGATAAGTCTTGATGTTTTTTCCTATTAGGTCTAGTCTATTTGGCGTTCACTGTGATTCTTGAATGTGGATTTCCCCATTCTTCATAGTACCTGGGAAGTTTTCTTTTAGTACTACTTCCACAACTTTCTCAGTGATTCTCCAGTCACTCTCATGTTCTGGAATTCCAGTAATACATATATTGTTCCCTTTTGAGTCATCCCACATTTTTGTTGTTGTTGTTGTTGATTGCTGTCAAGTTGAGCAAGACTCATAGTAACCCTATGAACAAAAGACCTGAATCCATTCAATAACTATCATTTTTCAAAGTTCAAAGAGTTTACAGAGGCATGTTGTTTGGGAAGTGGATGCCACTCCTGCTTCATTCTGATATTTTCTTTACATCTCACCTCTGACTTTTCTTCTAGTGGGTTTTCGGTGAGGCACTTATCTTCCAGCTCACTGACTCTCTGTTCCATCTCTTTGGTTCTACTTTTTTGTCCTACCCGTATGTTGGATACTTCTGTCATTTTGGTCTTAAGATTCTGGATAGGATTTTCATGCTTTTCTGTTATTTCTGGTACTGTGTTGGCTGTACTCTCTCATGTGATGATTTTTTAAGCTCTTGTACCTCTTTATTTATACTGTCAATTCTTTCTTCCATCCTTTGCATTTTATTTCGTAGCTGTTCAAGTTGCTC